TGGGCTCGTGAGCCACGGTCCCTTGGACTGCCATTGGGCCATTATGAGATTTTACGGCCCATTAAATCATAAAATAGCCATCATCCGACGCAATCATTATTGTGTGGACCATGGTCCATACAAGTTGTGTGGATCATATTTTGTATATTGTAAAATAATGTACATTCAATACAAAAATAATGTACATTCAGTACAAAAATAATGTACATTATATTCAGGGGATGTACATTATTTTTGTACTGAATGTACATTATATTGTATAATATACACTCAGTACAAAAATAATGAACATTCAGTATAAAAATAATGTACTTTTTGTTATGGTCCACACAACACTGTGTGGACCATGGTCCATATAATAATTTGCCCATCCGACGTCTAACTTCCATCGGCCCATTCCATAAATGAACAATAGCCAATCAGGCGATGGGGGAATTAGGATAATCAGACGTGATCGCACTTCGCGGAGGGTCTTTCCCGCCGGCGCCGGTGCCGGTGGGCAGGTAAACAGTAAACCCTCCTGCATCTTTATTCTTATGTGAGTTTATCCACAAGATCAATTTCGCTAACATTCTTTAATTAGTTTAATCCATATTTGAAATTATCCTATACTGCGAAAGAGATCTCAAGTGTTTTTAATTTGCTGCTGCGTGTTTCAGTCATAATCTGGACATAATGAGTGTGCATGGACCATTGTATTTTGTACGCTTTGGAATAATTTTAGCGGTGAATATGGGAGATGAAATTAGAATCTGAGGCTAGAAATTGAGAATGCGACACAAATGCGCTTGTTGCACGTTTCATTTTGGACAATAGTTATAGTGTTGGATAACATGAGCGGAGATGGACATTTTGGTACTATAGTTGTAGCTATAGGCCAGTTTGGCAAAACTTGGATGGTGAATACTTCATAATCAAATCTCAGTTACTTATGGCTTAAGTTACCTCCATAGACTTTGTGGCTATAATCTCACTGATCTAATTAAGTAAGCTCTGCTAGACAAGCAGCAATAGTCACTTCAAGGGAATTTCTCATTTCTTTCTTAAAGTAGCACCAAAATAAAAGATTCTCATGTTTCTTTCGTGACTGTTAATTTTAAATCTACTTTTGATTTTAAAAGTGTTGCATGCTTTTTTTAAAGTATAGAGTCGCCTGCTTTAACATATCCCCATCTTCAAAGAGGGAAAAGAAGAAAATTAGGAGGAAAATTATGGCCTGAATTTCAAGCTGCCATCCTTTCTAGTGCCAAAAATTAATTTTTGCACTTGTTATCTGGTGTATCTTGTCATTCTTGTGTATATTTAAGCATTGTTATTTTTCAGGTGACAATATGTTAGTAATTATGCCAAGCTTGATTTAGATATCTTCAAGAGTTTGCCTCTGTTATTAATTTTTAATTTCTTTTGGCATTTGGATAAAAATGTGTCATGTTGATGAGAATCCTTGCTGGAATGCAACTCTGTGGAAAAAGCAACAAGGTTCATCGAATAGCATAGCAGAAAGAGATACATTAAGTGCCAAAAGATAAGAAAGGCCTTGTGGAAAAGGCACAGGGTCATACTCTGGAAGAATAAGTAACATAATTAGCTATCAGGATTTAAGGCCACTATTTTTTCTTTTCTTTTCTTTTATTGTGTAAGACTTCTCTCTTTAAACAGTTTTCACCCAAAAAGGCAAAGGTGCAATTTTAACTTGTTCAAAATTTTCAAACTCAAGCTTTCAATGTTTAACTGTGAACTGAAATAAACTAACATGCTATGTTGAAAACATATTTTTTTTTAAAAAAGGTAGTGATCTAATTACCCAAAATAAAAGAGACAAAAACAAGGTATACAATTACAATTTTGGAGGTTGATCATTGTTGATCTTAATATCCCAAAATCTATGTTTATCAGTTATCTGTTCCAAATATCCAATTTGATTTGTAGCGTTTTTATCAGTAGTATTGTAAAAAATCAGTTCCATCAGGGTTTACAATCTTGAATAACAACACAGTGGCTCAATGATGATTCCTTTTTCATGGTTGTTTGCTAGAGCAACTAAAAAAAAAAAGAAAAAGAACCAGAGAATATAGGGTAAAGAAAAATAAGTGTGTACATCAACAAATGGCAGAACAGAAATAGATATACTGTGTCTTTTAGATCAGTAAGGACCTCTTTGGTTACATATGTGCAACATACAGGGTATCAGCTTTGGAGCCTCAAAATTCTCAACTTTATGCAAAAGTAAGTTATTCCTTGCCAGGAGGTTACATTCACAAAAGTAAAAGTGCGCTATTCTTTTATTACATCGTATATCCGTGTTCCTTCTTAATCTAGGTTAGAATTATCCTCCTGCTTATTATAGCATGCTAAAACAATTTAATACAATAGTTACAATTCTTTGTATTCGCTTGGATGTGTGGTTCAGAGTAGGGATAAGTTTTAGAAGTTCCTCTGGACCTGGATAGTTCAGTTGAATATGCTGGCTTTAATGATTCAAAATTATTAATAGATTCCTATCTATGTAAAATTGACCTCACTTTTCCTCTTCTTCATCAGTTTGTTGTTTCTGAGTCTTGAGAAACACTTATGAGACAGTGGTGAGTGTGGTTCTGCACTTGAGTTGGAAAAAAATGCTATTGAAAGAATGAAAGCACTGAATTGGAAAGAAGACTTGAGGATCAGGGAAATAAAAAAAAAAAAGTGAATAACTGAACCATGTTTCAATGGCACTTGGAAGCCACAAAGTTTTTTCCTCTCTTGTAGCCTGTATCTACATGTTTTACTATGCTATAACATGTCGTCTCCTTTATGAGTACATATCCTAAAAGCTAAAACTATGATATGCTGGAGTGCACATAATTTAGTGAACTTTAGGTTTCAGCTATGGGCATAGTTAGATTAAGGCAATGTTGTTATCCTGATGGCATATCTCTTTAGGCTGTTTGAAGTCTTCTAGCTTCATTCCATGATCATCTAAATTAGAGATTTTGTGCATAAAGAAATTTCTCAGAGTTCTAGTTAATCGTGTTTTTTTTTTTTTTTTTTTTTTTTTTTTTTTTTTTGGAACTTAAACTAGAATAGAGTATTTATACTCTTACACATGTTTTTTTCCTTTTCTCCTGCTTTAAAATTTCACTATTTAGCTCTTTGCCGATGAGGGTACTAGGGTAGGTTAATGTGATTTCTTTAGCTTTTAATTAGCATTGACTAGAATTGAAAACTTTCCACTATAACCATTTTAAGGTTTATCATGAACCCTATATATGTAATTGCAGCTACTGAGTTCATTGCAACTTACTTCCCCTTCTGATGGATTTTTGTTTCTTAAAAAGTATTTGTTTCGTAATGCAACCAAGTCCCCATGTACTTGTCTCATTTTTGGCAAGAGTATGGGGATTATTTTCATTCAAAAAGAACGAGGTTCATGGAAAGGAAGGACCCCAATGAAAAGTAAAAAGTAGCCTCATGCTTCAATTATACTGCAACACGCAAAAAGTTGTAAGCTTTTCAGTACCCAAGTGTTTCTCATTATTCCATTACTTCTAGGTGAACTTTGTTCCTCTTTTAGTAAACAATTTTTTTTTAAAAAATTACCATTGTCAATCATTTACTATATATATGCAATGACTATTTATGTGTGCATCTATTGAGTCTAAATGAATATTCATATCTATTGGTACTTACAACAGAGCGGGGAATTTAATAGCAAAACTTGTCAAATTATATGATGAAAATACTGTATTGTAAGTAGCTATGGAGAATTCTGTTATCTGTGTTGCTAGGGTTAGAAGTATGGAACAATGCCATATCCACCCTCTGCCATCAATGCTGTGGAGAATATCTGGTCCTCTTCAGTCTCCACATCAGTTCTCTTTGTGAATCGACCTTTAAGCCTTGGCCTGGTTTCTGCATAGGCCTTTCTTGAGGCATACCTGATGGTCTTCTCAAACTTGCGAGACTTTTTCTTTTCTCTGTACCTGAGAACTCTAGCTTCCCTGTCCATTGGAGTAAGCTGTGATGGCATCTGAGCTGGTGGACCAGATAGGAGATCAATGGTTCCTTTTGAGGGTCTTGAGTAGGCGAATGAGGCATCAGTTATGGTAGACTCAGGAACAACACCAACATCAAAGGAGGAAATGGAAACCTGTTTTCAATTTTGGCAGTGGAAGTTTACTTTAAAGCATATTCTGTGGTTAAATACCTTGATCCCCAATAGAGAAGAAGGATTCGCTAAACAATACTAACTATCAAGTGGCATAATCTGGGAGAACATGGATGAAATCAAGAAAACTTACACTTTGACTAATTGAAGCTGGATAACCAGTGTTGGAATTCTCATATTCCACCCCAAGAAACTGGAAACTCCCATGCTGATGATATTGCTGCTGATATTGAAGCTGATTTTTTCCCTTACCGGGGACAACACAATCCCCTTCATATTTGATTTTCTTCTGAGGTACAGAGTACTGCTGTTGATGGTTTATGCTATACTGATCACTGTACTGGTTGTGTTGACAAGAACTGTACTCCACAAGGTCCAAGTACTCATCTTCAACCTTACATCCATACAACATATCGGTACTGTTGTTACCACCTTGGCTACTGCTGTTGTTCTTGGCAGGAGTAAGGTTAAGCAACAACCAAGAAGCTGCCTCATCTTCATCTTCTTCATCCAAGGTTGTTTCCTCTGCATCCCTCATGAATCCATCATCCTCCGTGGTATCTCCAGCATGAGTGATCATCAGGGGACCTCCACCGCCAGGGTCAGTGTCTGGAGGGCCGCCATGAATGGTGCCTAGAAGTGGCAGAATTGGGACACGGTGGTGGCGCCGTGCCAATGGGTTGGCAGCGTGGATGTCTGCATCACAAGCAGCACAAAGAGAAGCTGCATCTGCATTACACCAGAACACAGCAGGAGCGCGCTGGCAAGAGTCACACAACCACATGTGCTCATGAATGGAAGTCTCACGGTTTGTGGCATGCATACAACCTTGAGAACTAGCACTGAGGTAGGCTGAGTTGGTCCGACAGTTGATGGAGCATGGCACCGAATGGCAGGTATGACATACACTAGCCCAATTATGACTTTTGGTGTTGCTGCTACCACCAAAATCTAAATCCCCACAGCTGCTTTCCTCTTTCGACATTTATGTTTTTCTTTTCAAAAAAAAAAAAAAAACACTTTCTTGGTCTCAAATGTGTATTTTGGGGGTCTTCTTGGGAGCTTGGGTGTGAACTTATGGGCAAGTGAGGGAAGGGAAATAACAGTGGTCAGTGGCCAACTACCAAATTGAAGAGAGAATCAGGAGAGGACACTTGTCAGCAAACAGTGGGTTGGAAAAGTTGCTATGTTATCTTGTGGTTGGGTTTGATTCTGGTGGAACCCAAGGTGCAATTGGATATTCTGTCATGTGGGTACGGGTAGCTTTGGCTTTTGGAATCAGTTAAAAGTAGTTGCTTTGGGAGTTACAGCTCACAATAGGATTTCACAGTTCACACTTCACACTCACCTGCTCTCATGTAGGCAACTTAAGTATAGTTACTCATGTTTTCTTATTTCTTACTAATTGTGGTGCAGTATAGTTTTATTAATAGAGTTAATTCCAGCAAAGGTCCTCCGACTATTGTGATTTTTCAAATTTAGTCCTCGTCTTTTAATTTGGACGAATTAAACCTTTGGCTATCAAAAACGTTCCTCCATTAGTCCTTCTGTGAAACTAACGTTATTTTGCTGTTTAAATCAGGGGTAAAACAGTCTTTTCATATGCTTAGTGTCTTCTTTCTCTTATTGGAAGTCGGTATTGTTTGGTTGCAGCTCTTGGAGGAGTTCGAAACCATGCTCAATCATGTTCTTAGCACCAAACAAACCGTTTCAGCCAATCCCACTACACATTCTTGCACCACTCGTAGCTATTCTCTTGGTTTCTGCTTCGAAACTGATCCCACAAACTCTGTCCTAGATGATCTCCGGTCCATTGCACGACGGCTGAGGTCGATAGGATGCCTCCGTGACTGCCAGGAAATCTACAGCGCCATTCGCGAGACGTTTTTCGATGCCACTTTAACACGATTCGGCATTGTGAAGTTGAGCGCGGGTGTTGTGCAGAGAATGGTGTGGCAAGAATTGGATAGGATGATCGGGCTCTGGGTTGGAGCAGCTCCCTTCCATATCCATCTCATTACCATGGAAATCCATGCCTCTTTAAAGTTGAGAATGCCCCATTTCTGATGCAAATTGTAAGGGCTTATGTAACGCCTTTTATGGATTTTGTCTCGGCGGTGGCCCGTGGTCGCCGTTGGTCGAAACGCCTGTTCGGGATGTTGGATTTGCATGGCTGTTTAACGTTAATGTTGCCCTCTCTGGAGCTACTAAAGTTGTCGGGAGCTGATGCTTTGGTAAAGCAGGCGAAACAAATATTGTCTGCGCTGGAAGAGGCGGCCAGGGAGACATTTCTGAGGTTCAAGAGAGCTGTGGTGGGGGACTTGTCGTGTGTGGCCAATGTGAGAGAGGGTGTTCATCACCTGACCACCTACGTAATGGACTACCTGACGAGAATGGTGTCGGGGTAGGCAAGTGCGAGTGGATCGTGGCGAGGAATATCGACGACATCCTCTGGATTGGCGACACTTTTAGCGACAAAACGCTGCATGTTCATCACTGCGGTGACCAGCCGCCGCTAGCCTCACATATCAAACTGGTGATTGCTAATCTGCTGTGCATTCCTAAAACTCCATAGTTTCTCTTCTCACTTAGGTTTCTTCTCATCATTTCTCCATTCTTCAACTTCCTGGAGTTCTTCTTCTTCTTCCATTCCATTGCCGAAGAACCTCTTGTTGAATACCATCTTGCTTATGACATTTCCACAGTATTGTCGTGTGACAGTCCGGGCGTTAACAACATGCATGCCGCCGGTACCGGAGATGTTGCACTGATCGTAGATGTATTTAACGAGGTTATTGGCTTCTTCCACCCTTTTATCGTGAAGCGGAGGCTCGCCGGAGAAAGCACGCGGGAGTGGAGAACTCTTCGCATTTTCGCCCATTGATCGCCGGTGGGGAGAAAGATGGACGACAAGTATCCGTTTCTGATAAACCAAGGCGCTACTCAGCAGGAGTGGTCTCTGATGAATTTGGGGACTACGTAATATTATTCAAACATTCAAAGGGAGGAAGAATTTGAGGAAGAAGACACTAAACATATGAAAATACGTTTTTACCCCTAATTTAAACAGCAAAATAACGTTAGTTTCACGGAAGGACTAATGGGGAAACGCTTTTGATAGTCAAGGGTTTAATTCGTCCAAATTAAAAGACGAGGACTAAATTTAAAAAATCACAATAGTCGGAGGACCTTTGCTGGAATTAACTCTTTATTAATATATCTCATTTATCTTGTTGAAAATGTTTTTTAAATCTCATTTGAGTGACATTTCTATTGTCATTTTTTTTTTAATATTTTAGAATTTTCATTTGAGGTTAAAACACATATTCCCCACACTTAATTCAATTCATGGGACATTGAATTGAACACAACCAATGTTCAAAGCATTGTTGGAAGGGGTGGAATACGAGCCTCAAATTCTAAACTTTTGGAGGCTGTCAGGGACCACTGGACCACCACAACAATTAGGAGTGTAGGATTTCTCACTTTCTTATGGAGGCAAATTAATGCGTAACTAGATAACTACCTATCATATGATCACCCTTCTTTTGGTTTGCATGTTTTTAAATGAGTCATCGGAATAACTTTCATGGATTGCTATTTATTAACATGATTGATGTTGTCTAGCCTCAATATTTATAATTTTTTGTGTGTGTGTGTGTGTGTCTTGGGTGGGGTTTGGGGGGGGGGGGGGGGGGGGGGGTGTCATCTTTCCCCTTGTATGTTAAAAAATAAAATAAGAAAAAAATTGTAATTTTCATCTCTAAGTTATAAGGTAAAGGTAATTGTAAGATTCGTCTATATTTGTTGGTCGTGTTCACTTTTCGTCTCTAAGTTATAACTGACATTATAAATTTCATCATTTTTCTAATAGGTTGTGCTCACTTCTCATCTCCAAGCTGTAAGTGACGTTGCAAATTTTGTCTCTAATGTTTTGTTAAAAAAATGATCAAATTTACAACGTCAATTATAACATAGGGATTAGATGTGAGCACGATTAACGAGTAGGATAAATTCTACAATTACTTTATAATTAGAGACGAGAAATGCAAATTTTTCAAAAATAAAATAAAACATAGCTGTATAATTAGGTTCCCAAGTAGAAAATTTTGCTCCTAGGGTTTTTGAATTGATTAAGTTTTGCTATTTTGAGGTCTTTAAGCCATGGGTAGCGCCGTACTGCCGTAGTGTACTTTTGGAAATGAAAGGGCAATTTTGTTCCTTAAAAACTCAGGTGAAACATTATCGGAGGACCAGATATGAAAAAAAGAAAAAAAATCAAAATGATGCACTATAACTGACAAAATAAGTACTTAGAAAAAAATAACAGTCAAAAGTGGAAAATATTCATACAAAAATATACTACGAAAATGTGATACGTGGAACTGGTTTATATTACAAAAAGTCAACAACTAACACACGGTATAGAGTTTTTTACACTTTTGGTCCAATGACTATAATGACTCTATCAGCATTGATCCATGACTTTTAAACCTTGCAATTTTAGTCTACGACTATTGTTTTTTTTTTGGCAAAAATAGTTATTCCGGCCACTTTTTCGTCAAAATTTCACCGGGATAAAATTTCTTCATTTTTAAGAGGGCTAAATTTGAATCTAAATGGAACTTGCAATATTGTTCTCTTCTAATAGCATGCTATCAAATACAGTGGTGATGCCAGCTCAAGCCTGGGTTGAATGACTCACAAGTTGTTCTTATAGGTATGCTATATATTTAATTATATATATTGTCATTCTTTTGGGAAAAGAAATAAAGACTCGCGGCATAAACCGTGTGATTCTACAACTATCTTCCTCATATAACAAACATGCTTTTCTGTGTGTTGGATTGCCAAACTTGTGTGCTATAAACAGAAGCCTTAAGGTTGCAAAATCTGGTGTGAAGAAGAGGAATAGGCAGGCTTAAGTAGTGCAGTATTTTCTTTTATTTTCTTTTATTCTGTTTGTTGTTCGTGGGTAATCGCAAAGGAGCGATAGGTCTTGCAAGCTTATTAAGTGAAATGTCAAATTTCGCCCTCTTAAAAATGAAGAAATTTTACTTTGGTGAAATTTTGACGGAAAAGTAGTCGGAAGGATATTTTTATCAAAAAAATAATAGTCATGGACTAAAATTGCAAGATTTGAAAATCGTGAATCATAATGTCACTATAGTCGTGGGATCATAAGTGCAAAAATTCACATGGTATAATTTGCCAAGTAAGAATTAGAAGGCACGGCAGGAATTGGATCATAGAGAGCATTATTGTGGGCAATAAAAGGTAAAAATGGGAGAGGTGTGAGCCACAAGTTGAGGACAAGCCTTGGGACCATTCACATGGCTTTCCAGCCCAACAATGGAATGCACATGAATAATAATAATACTCACACTCACGTAGTATTCAACCCTCGATCATTGTGGTCAGCAAATTATTGTGTGGACCTGATCCAATTGTTGTGTAGATTATGAATACAAAGTACATTTTTAATATACTAAAAGTACATTATTTTTGTATTGAATGTATATTATTTAATAATATATAAAAGGCACAAGTGTCAAATAGGCTCATCTACTATTGCAAAGTGCTCAATTCCCATCAATAACTAAATTAAGTGTTAAATAGACCCATCTACTAATTAAATTTGTTCAATTAACTTTTTTTACAGGTTGTTAACAGGTTGCCTATTTAATTATTAAAATAAATAAATAAAATAAAATAAAATAATTACAAAAACGGCAACGTGTACGTGGGACCCCTGGCAAACACGGTAAACAACTCGTCGTCAATGTCTAGCCAAGATCATCTTTCATTTACCGATACGCCGCCACGGAAGATCAACTCCACGACGACCCTAACGTCGCCCTTTTCTTCAAGCCCACCGCCTTGCACAAAGGCACCACCATGACCTTACACTTCATCAAAACAGCAAACGACGCCACTTTCTTGCCCCGCTCCGAAGCTGAAAAAATCCCATTTTCCTCCCAGAAGATGTCCCAAATTCTCAACCAATTCTCCATAGCCCCCGACTCAAAAGAAGCCCAAGTGATGAAACAAACCATCACAGAATGCGAAGAGCCAGTAATCAAGGGAGAAGAGAAACAATGCGCCACTTCATTAGAATCCACTTCATTACAAATTTAGCTGGTAGATGGGCCAGTTTGACACTTAATTTAGTTCATGATGAGAATTGAGCACTTCGCAGTAGTAGATGGACCTATTTGACACTTGTGCCTATATAAAATAATGTACTTTCAATACTGCAAATAATGCACTTTTAGTATATTAAAAATGTACATTTTACTTATGTTCTACACAGCTGTATGGATCATGGTCCATTAATAATGTTTGATTATGGTCTATGCATGTAATGTCTTCATCAATTTGGCTCCTGATCTCCTCACCACATCAACATTCATCTTGATTTACATGTGATAAATCTTACAATTAGACCAAAATCACTGAGTAAAGTATGTTAAATAATTAAGATTTTTTCACTTATATAGAGTCAAATTCTTGTTATTCCGACAAAATCTCGACCTTAAAGAAGAGAAGAATAAGTTAGCATGATGATACTAAGAATGCCTAATAATAGATAGAATTTCTCAAATAATTGTCTAATAAGATTAGGTTAGTGGGGTTTTAATGAACTTCAACATAACAACTGAAATAAGGCTTCCCAATACCATCATTTCTTGCTAATCCTATCTCTAGCCACAAGCCCAAATCAGTGGGTTTTCTGTCGTTTAAACAATATATATATACACAACTACTTTACCAGCTATCACTACTCAACATGATTTTGACTCACTTTGCAACCTTTGTGAAACTGGATATCAATAGTCTTTTTACCTGTCTTTTTTTTTTTTTTTTTTTTTTTGAAAGTTACTGACTCTATTACATTGTAGTATCTGTTCATAGACTTTCTCATAATCTTTTTACCTATCTATTATATTGCAACACTTCTGTTTAGTGCTCCTACTAGCTAGCTAGCGGAGGATCTGAAGCGCCAAATTAAAGACATTGTTCTTGTTGCAAGTTCCATCAATGCAATGGAGATGTACATACAACATGCAGGTGTTGAACGCACTTCATTTATACGCGCTATGGTCAGCTCAATTGGTCACAGATGGTCACAGAGGTGAAATATGTGACAAGAGAACAAGGATAATTGAGTCTCACCAGCGACAGTGTGGGAGCAACCTCTCAAATGAGGGAGGGGAGGGGGGGGGGAGGGGGGGGGCTCCTTGTGCGCAATGAGCAAAAGTCTAGCCTCTGTTGACCAGTTGAGTCACCATGATTTACCCCGGCCTCCACAATCCTGATGAGGTGGGCGATTCCACCTTTTTGTCATAAAAAATGACTATTTAAATAAATTATATACAAGTAATAGTAATTGATAGATTGTTCAATGCGTACACACCTTTGAGTTGAACACGCGGTCTCCTCAATTCTTGCTGCTTTGGCGACAATATTTAGAGAAAGTTTGTGTCTCCATTTACCATAATATCTAAGAATGCAGTTTTAAGAAGATACTATTATGAACATTATGAGAAATCAGGCCTCTCTGCATCACATTATTCCAGAACAAATCCAGAAGGCTATTCTCGTCCTTAGAAGAAGCACTCAAACTTTTGTATAGTTTGAGGGTTACCATTAACCTTCTTTTGTACATCTCATCAAACAAATCTGAAGCAGCTCTCGTATTTCCTTCTTTAAAGTATGCATACGCTAGACTAGTGTACACTACACTATCTCCCAATATCTCCCTCTCTTGCATCATGCCAAAGAACCTTTCAGCACAATCCAGCTTCCCCCTCTTACACAACCTTCGTATAATAGCCCTGTAAAATGAAATGTCAACACAGTAACCTCTCCCCGAAAACTCATCTGCCAATTTTACGAGTGCTTCGTTGTTGTTTTGGAGGCAATAAGTGTCCACAAGCCACGAGTATGCACAATAACTCGGAGAGAATCCTGCAGCAATCATGTCAAATATCACTTCTTTAGCTCTCTCCGTATCCTTTGCCTTGCAAAACCCATGGATTAATGCTTTGTACGTGAAAGAATCAGGTCGGAGTCCAGCTTCTAGCATCTTATTCTTCACTTTCAGAGCCGATACAATGTCTCCGATTTTGCAGTAGCCATTAATCAATGTGTTACAAGTGACATTATCAGGTTCGATTTTCTTCTCACCCATTTGGTTTAATAGCTTAGTTGACTCCTTCATCCGCCCTTCTTCACAAAATTTTCGGAGAATTGAATTATAAGTGGCAACCCTTGGACACAAACCTTTTTCTTCCATTGCACTGTGCAATCTCAAAGCTTCATCTATATCACCAACTCGGCAATAACCATCTATCAATGTGGTATATGTCACCTCATTCGGAGTAACTTTTTCTTTTATATCCTTAAACAAACGCATAGCCTCTCTCATCCTACCTTCCCTACAGTGACTGTGTATCAGAGAATTATACGTTATAATGTCAGGTTCCACTCCTCCCCTTTCCATCCTATCTTGCACAGATAAAGCTTCATAATGCATGCCTCTCCGGCAGTACAACGATATCAATGTGTTAAATGTATATAAATCGGGGAATATACCCTTGAACTCCATTTCACTCAAGAATTCATCTGCTTTCTCCACTTCACCCGATTTACAACATGCATGAATCAACACATTGTATATGTGTATATTCGGTAGAACCCCAAGTTTTATCATCTTTTTGTATGTCTTCCACACGGTATCAGTCAACCCCTCCTTGACCAATGAATTCAAGAGCACAGTACAAGCATGCGGGTCAGGCTTAATCCGACAAATCCTTAAATGCTCAAACACCTGAATTGCATCCCACGTGCGCTTTGAATTCGCGTAAAATATCAACAACCAACTGAACACTTGCGAATTCACATCGCTGTCATCATCACTCCTCACAAGAGCATTCAGAACTGCGGGCGAGGACAAGAAATCTTTACATGCAATTTGGTGAAGCATATCTTTTGCACTCTTGAAATGTTTGTGTTTTGTGAGTATATAAATCATACTCCAAGAAGATTGCAAAGAGTGCCTGTAGTTCGGGATTGTTTCTACCCATTTGAAGAATGACCAAGAAAGCCAGAACCAACAAGGAGAGAGTGTGAGTAGCGTATGATTAATAATTGTCGAAGTCACTGATAAACCAATCTTGGGTTTCAACAGATTATTCCAGTGACCCTTAAGGACAATTACACATAAAGTTTTGACAAGTTGACTTTCAGTGTTTGCACCAGCAGAGCTAGCCATCGACATCAATGATAATCAAAATTCCATCATTAGATTCAGCAGCTCAATGATAAGACAACTGTTACTAGATTCCTAGAATGTTGGAAACCACCATGTGTTTGAATCAACCAACTACTGAGACTTATGCCTAGTCATTGAAATAACTTATGAACATAAGTCACACATGATTCAAAATTTTAAAAATAAATAAATAAATAAATAACAAAAAAAAAAAAACAACAACAACAAAAGACACACAAAAACAAAGAAGAAATTTCAAATCCATACTACAGTATAATTTTCAACTAATGGAAGAGCTATCTAGCATTAGATTTCATGGATTTTTAAAACACATTATTGCATTGCTAGAACTTGAATAGTCCCTCCATCCCATTAGGTAAGGGGTATTTGTGATTGGCCGAGTTTTTAAGAAGACAAATAAAATGGGACGGAGGTAGTATTAAAAATGCAATTTACGGAAAATGGTTTTTTAAAAAATAGTTGGCATAAGAATATATCCATAACAATGGTCAAAGGTGACTTACTAGGTATACTAAATATTTAGTTCATATTCAACAAACATTAGTGATGAGCATTTTTTGTTCCTTCATTTTCCATCACTCTAAGGTTTTTACAATTGTTGTAGGAAAGGTTCCTATGTTTTAATTACGGGTCTTAAGTTTGAGTTGTGAATGGAGCAATAGGCATTTGGAGAACTCCTCCAGATGCAGTTTGACAACAACTAGACTCCAGGTTAAATGGTCAATCAGAGATAATATCACTATCCGATATTGGGATTATGGTACCAAGAGAACCAAAATGAAATTGTTTGAACTTATTATTTAAAGAATAGCAAAAGTATATGTATCTTCTAGGAACTGTACAAATTTGAAAGTTTATCTCTACTGGCAACCACTGCTTCCATTTAGATTGATGTTTATTGTTAGAAACATAATTAAATGCAAAATATTGATGAGCAGTACATGCTGAAACTCATCACCAAATATTGGAGTAATGGAGTGTAATATTGGCCATTATACTTTAACCTCAGCATGAAACAAATAATAATCACCTATGAGTTTTCAGTGTCAAAAAAATAGTTGCAAAAGAAAACATTTGTGCATATGTGCTCGTACTTTTTGCAACACGATTTAGGGGTGAATTCCATACAATAAATGCAAACTTATTTTGAAACCCAAAAATTTAGAATTTCATATAAAGATAACAAGTGTTTACATATTTACATTTAAAGGCTAGAAGATTATAATATTTTTTATAACAATCATAATGGTAGAATCAGAAGTTAGAAAAATCTTTGAGGCTTTGATGATCGTTTTAGTCCATCACCCCTCTATTAGACCTGTTCAAACATCATTTCTCTTTCAACTAAGATATATATCTAAAATGATTCCATACAATGCTTGATTGCTTGTTAAGTGCTTAATAAGGATGATTCCACTTGCTTCTCGTTATCAGTTAGATTAATAGTGACATGCTACAACTTTAACTTGGAAAAAGAGAACACAAGAAACAAACAATTTACATCATAAAGTCCTAAACTTTACCTTTTCCTCCTGAAGGCTTAAGCTAAGACGGAAAGAAGAAGGCTGTCTCTAGATTCAAAAGACGATCATCTGCACTATGTGATTTTCCTTTTCTGGAAAACCTCCTAAACCTAGACAACAAATACTCTAGACTGCCCAGGAAAGTATTCATTTTTCTCCTCTATTTTGACTTTCATCTATCACAAAATCTAGACAGCAAATACTCTAAGATAATCCCAGAAAGTATTCATTTTGCCCTCTTTCTTCTACCAATGACCACGTCAAAGACTATGATATTTTGTTCATTCAGAATACTCATTTACAGATTCATAGGTCCAACTTCAATGAAACCATAATTAAATCATTCTATGAACAGTAAAAATATAATATACTTTTTTAAATGTACAAACAAAGAATCCATCTAAAAAACAGTACAAAGTATTCAACCTTTTCTGCAAATTATCAAAATTTTCAGCTAAACACCTCAAGGATCCAACTTTAAAATAAAATAAAAAAACTAAAAAGGAAAGGAAAAATCAAATTTGAGAATAAAGATTGTACCTTTAGGCTTTTCAAGTTATGGGCATTCTGAAGGACGACCACGCCGAAGCCTGAAAATCTAAGACTTGCCGGATTTTCACCATTGTCATTCCCGTGTTTTAGCTGGGAATGTCGAATGCTTGCATTCTAGCAATGGAAGAAGAATGAAGATAACAGAAAATTTAGTGGAGGTGTGAAATTAGTGGAGACCTATAGATGATGCTCAGGAGAACAGCTCATTAACAGGACTTTGGTGGCAAATAATGAAAGGTAAGTAGGGGTGAGCACACGGTCTGTTTTTTCCGGAAAACAGATTGGAATATTTTACAGTCATAACCAACTGAAAGTAAATGTTATAACCGACCGAAAAAACGACAGTCAGTTTCGGTCGATTATGTAGGTTACCAAAAAACAGAAAGATTAACAAATTATTCCAAAATTAATAATTAAAAATTCTATTGTCCACTCCAGGATTAATTTTCTACACAGTTATACAAACAAAGTAACCCCTTTGGTTATTTCTAAAAAATTTACATAAAATATTAAATGAACAATTAAAGAAAATTTAAAAATTTCAAACCCAATAAACTCCAGAATTAATTTTCAAACACTAACAAAAAGTCCAGTGAGCACGATACGATTTAGTGAGAAATAGGTAAAAGTTTAATGTATGAAATCAAGAGAGTCGCAGCAATGGCAGCATATATTGTATGAAATCCTTTTATTTTTAATCATTGTTTTAATTAGGCGCCAGGCCCGCCCGCTTAGCGTATCACATAATCGGTCTAGGCAGCTGCCGCCTAGGCACCAGTAGGCCGATTAGCTATTGTTCCCTTCTGTTTTAAATGGATGATTTCAGTGAAAACAACATCGTGAAGTAATGCTAAATTATTCAAACTCTTGAAGTTAATATTTAATATTTTAGTATTAACTATTAAAGTATTAAATAGTGTATAATTATCAAATTATAAAAAAAAAAAATTAAAAAAAAATTATACAAATTTTTAAAAAATAAAAACTATTCGCCACCAAGCGTCCGAGGAGCTAGCATTTTTTCAACCATGATTTTAATATGTAAAAAATTAAAATTCACCTTGAGCATTGGATTTACAGTGAGTCAGTGAAGCAGAGGCGCAGAGGACTGACTGGGCGAGGGGCGAGGCTGAAGTGAGGTCCGCAGAGGCGCTGAGGTGCCTGAGTCCCGTACGGTCGTCGCTGAGACGGCTGAGTCGATGAAGTGATGAAGTGAGGTCTGACACTCTAGGATGTGAGGACTGAGGGCGTGAGAGAGTGACCGCCTGATCGGAGTGTCGCCAAGGGCGGAGGCGGTGAGAGACGAGGGAGAAATGGTTAACCGTCGTCGTCTGTGGCGGAGAAGCAGAAGCCGAGAGAGAGCCCGAGAACGGAAAACGCTATGCTATTTCAGTATTTTGTGTTTTGTAATTGGGCCCCCGTTTTACACAAATTTTAGGCGGGTTGGGCCAAAGCTTTAATCCTAACCCGGCCGTGCATTATATATTTATAAGTTAATTACCGAAATGTGTCCTTGATTATTTTTTTGACCAATTAAGTCCCTCAACATTAAAAATCTTAACTAATTTGGTCCTCCGTTAGTCAATTGTTAACTTGGGACCAAATTGGTAATTCGATATAGTCAATGGATCATTTTGGTAATTAACTTTAAGGGTGGCAATTCAGTTAAGTTTTCTTGAACCGAACCGTACCAAACTAGTTAGATTCGGTAATATACCGAACAACCGAACGGTAATAGATTCTTGTATACCAACAGTTCGGTAAAAATTCGAACCGAACTGAATTGTTCAGTAAAAACCGATCCGAACCGAATACCGTTTGAACTTTGGATTGCTATTTTGTTATATATTAGACTTTGGATATGGAATATGTAAACACCATAACACATAATATAGAACTTTTGATAACTAACCATAAAGAAATCAAATAAAATATTTACGAGAGATACCCGTGAGAATATGAGCTGAACGGCAGAACAAGCAACAAGGCATTTGGATTTACTTTTTATTTATTTATTTATTTATTATTATTATTATTATTATATTTATAAAAAAAATCAAATGGTATTCGATTCAGTTCAACTTTTTACCGAACAATTCGTATCGGTTCGGGTCGGTTTTTTATCGAACCGTTCGGTATACAAGAATTTAATACCGAGCCAAACTAGTTCGGTACGGTTCGAGAAAACTAAATCGAATTGCCCACCCCTAAAGTTAATTACCAAAATGGTCCCTTGACTATAGCGAAATTACCAATTTCGTCCCAAGTTAACGGTTGATTAACGGTCAAACAAATGGAGGACCAAATTGATTAAAAATTTTAAAGTTGAGGGACTTAATTGGTTTAAAAAAAAAATCAATGACCAAATTGGTAATTTCGCTATAATCAAGTGACCATTTTGATAATTAACTCTATATGTATTTAAAAAAAAAAAAAAAAAAAAAAAAAAAAAAAAAACAAGTCCCTTAATAATCCCTTAAACGCAGCAGGCTTCTTCCTAGAAAAATTCACTTTTCCGGAGCGAAGCATCGGAATCTTTTTCCTTGCCGACGCCGCCTCTCAGATCTGATAGTCCGCAGCCATCGCCGCCGAGATCACTGAACTCCTGTCCAGATATTCCAGCGACAACCGGAACCAGGCTTCACTACATCAAGCACGCCGTCTAAAAATGGATAAAATTCAGAGGTATAACTAACTAATTAAAATATACAGTATTGATGCTCAATACTAAAATAATACTTATATATTTATTTATTTAGGAAATAACTAACTAATTAAAATGCAAATATATTTTTAACTGTAATAATCGAACTTTTTTTTTTTTATGGAAAACATTTTTTATTTAATCATTCTAATAAATTAAACTTTATGCATATATTTATATTTATTAAACATCATCATTGTTAAAGAATATTATTTATAATCATCTTTATGCATTTATATTTATTATAAACATCATCATCGTTTTTTGAATGGTTAGTTCCTGCCACGTCAGGAGCAGTAATTTTGTTTAGGTGAAGAGGAAAAGCAGATTATGCTCTCAAATTCTCGGTAAAGTTTCTATTTTCGGAATAACTACGCAACCCAAAATCCTCACTCCGATAGAACTAAGCAGATTGTGCTCTCAAAATCTAACTCCAAATCCATTCCTTTTCATCTTCTCCCTTTACTAGTTTACAAATCAAGAATCGTGATTCAACATTCTCTTTCAGGTACTATCATCCTCCCATGTCGAATTAGTTTATGAAGTTGTCTCTCTTATAATTTATGGTTCGCTTTGGGTAATATCGGAAGAAATTCCCAGTTCTATGTATACATGAAACGATTTGTCTTGATATATCACATATGTAACTTTTGAGTGCTTTTAAGTTTATTGAGCTTGTCGGGAAGGGTTTTGATTTTGATTTTACGTGAAGAAACTTTTGAGTGGGGAAATTGTTCAAACAGGCCAAGTAGCATATATGAAATTGTTTTTTGAAACTTCTGAGCTACCATTTTGATGCTTTTTGTTTAATTGTTAAATTAGAGAGGGAAGAATTCCTGGGGCTTATTGAATTAAGGATGGGTAACTCGGAGCATCCAAAGAAAAGGGTGGCCTTTGTGCTTATTGATGGCTTGGGAGATGTATCACTGCCAAGATTTGGTTACCAGACTCCTATGCAAGCAGCAAAAATACCAAATTTGGATGCTATAGCTTCTGCTGGAGTTAATGGTCTAATGGATCCTGTTGAAGTAGGCCTTGGATGCGGAAGTGATACTGCCCATCTGTCATTGTTGGGTTACAATCCCAGGGTGTATTACCGGGGCCGAGGTGCATTTGAGTCTATGGGTGCCGGACTGGCAATGTCACCTGGTGATATTGCATTTAAAGTATGTATATATGGTTCCCATTGCCCTTTTTTTTTGCATTTAAATGTGTTTGTTCTTGAGTAACTAGTTGGATATGCCAATCTTAATCATACATTGAAATCTGTCATTTAATATAGTAGTTTTACAGCTTTTACATTCTCCCTCTTCTTGTATGCTATACATCAGATGGGTCACTAGGAAAAGCAATAAACAGGTGTCTCTGCATATATACAAACGGAGCTTTGGCAATGCCAAGGACTTTTTTTTATTTTTCTCCTTATCATATTTAATGTATTGAATTACAACTCATTCTAGGGAGGTTGGATATGACCTTGTTCCTTTTACACTGTATGATGTGGTGCCTTCTGCACTGAGTCCTGCCTTTTGATTCCTTGTGTTATATGTACATAAGCTGTCACTTCTTGCCCTTAACCTAACTTTGTTATCCTAGTCAAATTTTGCAACCCTTGATGAGGCCACTGGAATAGTTATCAGCAGGAGGGCTGATAGACATTTTGAAGAAGAAGGGCCAATACTCTGTGCAGCTTTGGATGGAATGAAGCTTCCATCTTTTCCTGAATATGAAGTTAGAGTCAGGTACATATGCTTTCATTTACCTAAAACTTTGATCCTTGCTTGTCACCTATGGTCTATTGAGTTAAAAAGTTCTAAATCCTTTTTTTTTTTAAGGGAAAAGGATCAAATTGGCCCTCCAACTATTAGTGAAATATCAATTAAGCCGTTGAACTTTAAAAAGTTCCAATTAAATCTTTGAACACAATATATTCATGTTTATACTTTTTAGACTCTTAAAATAGGGGATTAACCCTTTTCTTGCTGCTGCTTCTAAAGTATAAAGTTCCTTTATCTTTCGAATGAGGGAGTGAAGTTAATGCTGATTATTTATTTTAGGTATGCGACAGAGCATAGATGTGGTGTGGTAGTAAAGGGACCAAAGCTAAGTGGAAATATATCAGGAACAGACCCATTGAAGGACAATCGCCTTCTTTTACAAGCCCAGGCTCTTGATGATACAGAAGAGGCAAAGCACACAGCTGCAGTTGTTAATGAACTGTCTAAAGAGATATCACGCATTCTTATTGCCCATCCACTGAATGCAAAGCGGGCTGCTGAAGGAAAGAACATTGCCAATCTTGTCCTTTTAAGAGGTTGTGGTATTCGAATTGAGGTAGATTCCTCTCTTCTCTTGTCTCTTGCATGCATATATGCATAAAGAATTTATGCTCACACTGATTTCAAGTTTCTACCAGACAGTGCTTTGAGCATACAATAGATCATAAAAATAAATTTAAAAAAAAAAAAAAATCATTTTGCTTCTGATTGTGAACTTTTTTATTCTCAGGTGGTTTGTTTAATTTGTCTAGGTTCCTCAATTTGAAAAGATACATGGGCTCTGGCCATGCATGGTAGCTCCTACCAAGATTATAGCTGGATTGGGTTTATCACTTGGGATTGATATTCTAGAAGCTCCTGGAGCAACAGGGGACTACCGGACAATATTAACATCCAAAGCAACTGCCATAGCTAAGGCACTCTCAGCTCCTCTGCAGTCTTGCCCCAATATTTTTGTACCTGGAGAAGATGAGCATAAACCTGGTAGATCTGATGGCTATGACTTTGGGTTCCTTCATATTAAGGTTAGATCACTATGCTTCTCAAATGTTTCTCTTTGTTCATATGGGTGTTGAATACTTTTAATTGTTTGTAACATAATCCATAAATTTTGTGCCTTCTGCAAAGTTAACTCCTTGAGAAGTTGAGAGTAACAAGTTAAAAAAAGCATTACATGAATGATGAATCATCTTATTGCTTGACATAATGTATCTAATGTAACATGTAGGATAATTGAAGGAGTTAAATATTTCATTCTTGGCTTTGCAGGCTATTGACGATGCAGGTCATGATAAAGCAAGTGTTTTCAAAGTTAAAGGACTTGAAGCTGTAGATCGTGCAATTGGGCAGTTGGCTAAACTTCTATGGCCAGCAGAATCATCTGGGAAATTCCAGTTCTGCATTTGTGTCACCGGAGACCACTCTACACCTGTTGAATATGGAGACCACAGCTTCGAACCAGTCCCTTTTGCATTGTGTAGTTTGAAGGACTTTGTGGGTGCAGTGGGGGGAGAGGCAGTCCTGTTAGAAACTTCGCTCGACCCATTTCCCCTTCCAACTATCAAAGCTGGTGAAGATTTAGCTATTGATGTGGGAGTAGAAGGCGGCGAAAGAAGCAAGCAGCATCAGGCTTTTAGCGGGGACTGTGTTAGTGAGTTCAATGAGATAGCAGCGGTGAGAGGCTGTCTTGGACGCTTTCCCGGGAGTGAGATGATGGGAATTATAAAGACATATCTTAATCTTAAAACATAACAGCACATGCCAATTGGAGGGAAGCTTGAGATTATGTGATTTCACAATAAGGTAAACCATAATCTTCTTGTGGAAGAAGAGAAAAGAGAAAATGAGATGGATAAAATAGCTAACTGTTCTGAACTGCTATTCCAAATTTTCTGCCTTCTGAACTATATTTATGTTCTTTCCTTGATATGCAAACTAGTAGAAGTTGAAGGCTTTCAGATTCTATTTATTTACTTCCCTCCAGATTAGGATTTAGGAAATAAGATGATAATAACACTCCAGCTGCATTTGTACTGTAGTTACTGATGAGGATTTGGATGTAATTTTATTTGATAAACAATGTGTAATGGTGGGAGAGACATATTTTTTATTTTTTATTTATAAGAACTTTTAACCTGACATTAAAAATGATGATAAAATATGTAATTGAATAAATTTGATAGATTCATAGTCATCTGGGGAAAAAGAATCATACCTCATTCAGATGAGATTTACTTTTTTTTTTTTTTTTGTACCACAAGTAAGGATAATATTCATACATTTTAAATTCTCAAGAAAGTTAGAACTTTTCTGACTACTAAACGCCTTCTTAATTCAAAATGTAAAAATATTATATTTTTTCTTATATAAATAATAAATAATTTATTCTTAATTAGTATTACATTTTTCATATTGATCCGACCCGTATTACGAATAAAGATCTTTAAGACCGTCTTACACAAATTTATCTTTTAGAAATGTTGTTGGCAATACTTTCAAAAGTTAAAAAGAAATTCATTGGGACAAAATAACATTATTTTGGAGAAAGTATTGTCAATAATAAAATTCATGACTATAGAATATTTAAGTACAGAAGTCATTTTCCATCAACTCTTTTATGTTCAAAGGTTGAGTCATGGGGTAGATGTTTCATGCAAAGCGCGTGCCCTGGACTCACCGGGCACATGACTAGTCCTGTAAATAAGGAAAATGAGTGATTCCTCTCAAATACTCTGTCTGGAGGAGCTTAGGATTCTTAGGGTTGGGGATTGGGGATTCTTAGGGTTGGGATTCAACGAAGGAAAAGGAGCGATTGCCACTTAAACTAGCTCCTCCAAGATCTACATTAACGACATCGCGGCATCGTCGAACAAAGTATGATTCTGTTCTGTTCTCCTTCCAAGTTTGAAGCAGTCGAGCAATCTGTACAACGCCATTATTTTTTTAGTTATTTAATTAATTTATTTTTTCTGCCTTGTACGCAAACGACAAATCCCTTCAAACAAACTTCTACGAGAAAGCTGCAGGACCACTTCGTCTTCAAGGAATCGCAGCCGCACTGCCGTTGGATCGCTGCGGGCCAGCGACCAGTAGCTCCGCAACTTTCACCGCGTCGCCGTCTTCAGTCTTCATCTCAGTCAGCAGCTCTGTCGACCGTCGCCCGCTCCGACCAGTCGTAAAGCGTCCAACAGCAGCTTGCAGCTCCTCAGGTTCGAACCTCAACCTCCTTATTCCCTAAACCCTAATTCCATAAATCATGAAATTTTCCTGAGATTTACAATATATTAATTGTCTTATAAATTGTAATTGGTGAATTGTTAATTGTAAATTGGTGAATTTTGATTGTGAATTATAATTTATAAAATTTGAATTGTGAATTATAAATTATGAATGGGTGAATTGTGTATTTTCTAAATGTGATTTGTGAATTTATAATCTGTCATAGATTGATTAATTGATGAAAAAAATGTTTTGTTTCAGTATTTAAATTGTTTTTATTGGTGTTTGGTTTTTTGTCATTAACATTTTTTAATCGCTTGAACTCTGCCCCTACTCAACATTTTTTTTTTTTTGGCTCTGCATGTGCCCTTGCGGCCCTGCCTGTCAATGACAATATTAGGTATGAGAGACTAATGAAGAGAATGGAATTAAACATACTAAATAAAACATCATAATTGCTTATTATTAGTGTTTTGGTCCAGTATAAAGAGCCCCTTAGCTGAGCCTCACTACTCTCCTTCATTCCATTTTTTTTTTTTTTTTCCGTTTTGCCTCTCTTAGATGAAAATAATGCTTAAGTCACTTGTTTGAGTTGGCTGGATTGCTTGGAAATATTATTTTACTAATAGAAAGCTCATGTTAATTGTTTAAATGCCTAACCACTAGTCTTAAGATTCAAGCTCCCAAGGAGCTTCCTAGCTCAAATAATGAAGTGGCAGAACTTCTTTTACCATTTTAAAACAAAGATGCAATAATCATCTTTGACTATTTAAACAAAGAGTAGTGGCCTATCCGCTATTGTCTTTATTTATTTTGTCCGAGAGGCATGTTCAAAGGCGCAGTAATGAATCCTTAGCTCCACGCCTCCACATTCAAAAGTTCAGGGGGAAAGCCTATTCTTGAAGAAATTACTTTGCATTTTGATGAACTTATTAAGCTATGAATTTGTTAGCAATGGAAATTGGTTTGATAATTTAGTCTGTTGAAATACATGCGGTTGATTCTGTAGTAGCCTTGGGAGGATCCATGTGTATAGATATCATTTATGCTTTCTAGTTGTATCAATTAGATGGTTTTGCATACACTATTAATATATATCCAAAAAATAAAATAAATCAACTTTTTTACCTGATTGTGAATTGGTGAATTAGTAATTTATTATGTGCCATGATTGATTAATTGATATGAAATATGTTTTATTTTGGGGTTCAGTTATAAAAAAATGTTTTTTGATTCAGTATTTGAAGGTTTATTTGTGTTTGATATTTTGTCATGGACATTTTTTAATTTTTTGAACTTTGCTCTCACTCAATTTTTTTTTCTCACTCTGCCTATTTTTCCTTCTTTTTAAATACATTTTTAATTTTAAATTTCTACTTGTATTGTATGAAACTGCTGTCAAAATTTTAATGTTAAATATTTTTTTATTTTTTATTTTTAGTTTGTACACAGAAGATTTTTTATGAGTGAAGATTTTTTTATGAGTGAAGATGTAATCATAATTAGTAATGGGTTCTCTGTTGAAGATTGTTGTGGAATTGTACCATCAATATTAGGCTGAATATTATTTTAGTATTAATAGAAAATTTGTTGGTTTCCACTCAATTACTCAAAGCTGATCCATACTAGGTCAGCTGCCCTACTGATTTTTTATTTTTTATTTTCAAAATGATGTTGTTTTGATATGTGTGTGTGTGTGTGTTTTTTTTTTTTTTTTTTTTTTTTTTATTAAATAGCATGATAGTTTTTAACGGTAGAAAAGTTGTGCAAAGAACTAGTAAGAATTGTCCGCCATCTAATTTTTGTGGAGTGGATGATCCACCGAATTCATTGTTGACTTTGATTGATTAGGTGAAACGGTTCTGTAAAGTTTGTTTGTTCTTACATGTTGTGTGGTTATAATAGTAAGTTTGTGTTAGCCATGCAATTTGTACTGCATGGCAATATTATTCTACCACTCTATAAATGGAGGCTTGATAAGTGTTTCCACTTTATCAAATTAAAATGAAGGAAATTTAGTACTAGCATGTATGGTTATGGATGTGTCAAATAGGCTTTCTGCAATTGCCACAAAAATGGGACAACTGTAAAATGAAATTAAAGAACATTGTGCAAGGAAAGAAGTGCATGCTCGTGCTACAAAGTGGGTTTCCTTCTTTACAAGATCCATTGTTCCAACACTTATAGAAAGAAGTTTAGCGCTCTACGGTGCTTTTTAATTTCATTTTGCAGTTGCCTCATTTCGGCAACAAAAGCCTGTTTGACACTAACTCTATGTGCTAGTACTAAATTTCCTTATTGAGCCTCCGTATATAGAATGATATAAGAGTAATATTACCATGCATACAAATTGCATGGTTGGCACAATTCTTACTATTATATATTTATATCCATACAACCTGTATAAACAAATAAACTTTGCAGAACCATTTTACCTAATCAATTGTGGTGAAATTAGCAATGGATTCGGTGGATCTCAAGAATTGGATGGCTAGCATATATATACACACACACTTCCTTTTCAAACTCAATTAAAATTGCGGTCTGCCTTGAATCCTTGAGTGCTTTCAACCAAGACACTGAGAGGTGACCTCTAGACTCTAGACTCTAGACAGCAAAGTCCATTTCAACTAAGGGTGACCACGGTTCCGGTTCAAACCGGAACTGTAACTGGAACCGTCACTGTGCTAACCGGAACCTATAAGGTTCCGGTTAAGGTTCCTATAATATTGGAACCGGAACCGCCGGTTCCGGTTCCAAAACGAAAAAAAAAAAATGCAAAAGCTGCAGGCTTAAGCCTGCAGCGTGACAGCTTCTGCCCCACTGCCATGGCAGTGGGGCAGAGTAGACTGTGGAGTCATGGGAATCTACCCGTGACTCCACAGTGGAATAAAGCCAAATTGGCTTTATGCCTTTATATGGAATCCACTTTTGGTCCTACATTTATTGCGCATTGGACACATTTTGTCCGCTTTTATTAATTTTGTCACATTTTGCCCAAATTTAATAAAAACTGGACACTTTTAGTTCAACGTTACAATTTCTGTTAAACTGCTGTGAAGTAGAAGGGCAATTCTGTCCTTTCATGTGGAATTCTTCATCCGCTTTCAATTTTTTAGTTCACATGCGATGGTCTTCACCAATTGTCCATAAACCATAAGGCATTAGCGTCATGCCTTGAACTCGAAGAGTTACTCATTGCCGGATCAGATTTCTCTCCTCTCGCATACTCCGATCTCTCTCTTCCGTCAGTGTCTTCACCTTCAATTGCAGAGACCTAGATCACAATCAAAGAAATCTCTCTGTTTCCAGCAAAAGTTGCTCATAAAACCAAGCTATTATTCAATTCATCATTCAGATCTTTAAATTATATATATATATATATATATATATATATATATATATATATATATATATATATATATATATATATGAACATGCGAATTACACAATAGATCATAGCGTTCAACTTCGCGTCTCAGTTCAGCGAGTCGGAGCTTCCGCAACTCCTCTAGCAATGGTACGGCAGTCTCGGTTCGTTCGCCACACTCATCGTCAACACCGTTAACTTCACCGGAAGAGAAACGTCTCTTAGGGTCAAGGTATTTAAGCCTGCAGCTCTCAGGCGATCCGCGATAGCAGCATCATCAGAACGGTGCTCCGTTTCTGGAGCTCGTCGGCGACAGAGTCCCAACTCTTGGTGCCATGGCGGTTAACGGCGGTTGCTAACAGCAACTCCTCTCACGTGCCCCAATGTGCCTCCTTTTCCGGTGTGTTTTCTGCCGTTCCGTGCGATTTGTCCATAACTGAGTATTAAAAATGTATGGGGCAATCCATACTGTCTGTTTATGTTCTCTCTTTTTCTCCGTTGTCTAGTCTCTTTTCTTCCTATACCTTCCATTGAATCTTTGAATTGGGTAACAAAATTGGAACTTTGTTTGTGTGTTGTTTAGTATTTGGTTTGGATTTGCAATTGGTGAAGACCATCGCAGGTGAACTAAAAAATTGAAGGCGGATGAAGAATTCCACATGAAAGGACAGAATTGTCCTTCTACTTCACAGCAGTTTAACAGAAATTGTAACGTTGGACTAAAAGTGTCCAGTTTTTATTAAATTTGAGCAAAATGTGGCAAAATTAATTAAAGCGGGCAAAATGTGGCCAATGCGCAATAAATATAGGACCAAAAGTGAATTTAACTCCTTTATATATTATATAATATATATATATTATTTATATATAAGTATAAGGCTATAGACTCAAGTCAGTGAAGTCACTCAACGGCTATTTTCATAATTTGCCTGACAAAAGTAGACATGACCACGGTTCCGGTTCCGGTTTCGGTTCTGACTGGTAATTTTTTTTTTTTTTTTTTTTTTTTTTTTTTTGTAAATTGTAAGTTTTTAAGTATTGTTAGGCCCTGAGTTGAGTAAATTTTTTTTTTTGTTTTTAAAGATGACAGTTGTAACTTGTAAGTTTAAGTGGAATAAAATGTTTAACTTTGCTATGTTTTAATACAAAGACCTTATGAGAATAGTGATCAGAGAGCATTGAAACTAATAAAGGCAATTCTTAGGCCATTAATGATTAGGATAACAAAGGAAACAAAAGACAATAAATTTTTCATTGTCATTTGTTTCCTTTATTTTTCTAAACATTAATAAACTAAGAATTACCTTTATCAGTTTCAATACTCTGATCACTACTCCCATAAGGTCTTTACAGGGCGTTTGGTTGGAGGGATTTTAAATTCCCTTCCCACTTAATTCCCATCTAATTCCAAAGGCCATTAAATTCCGTAGTTTGGTTGGAGGGAATTGCAATTCCCTCATTTTCATGGAATTAAAATCCCATGCCCCGCCCCCCCCCCCCCCCCCCCCTGGTATTTTAATTCCTGGGGAAAAAAGATAGTGATGAGTCAAAATTACTCCTTCCTTTTTTAACCTAAAATTAATGTCTAACAACAATAATTGACATTTTTGACTTTATACTACTTATTCCCTTTCAATTCTCATGTATACCAAACATTGGAATTGAAATTCCCAGTAATTCTATTCCTGTCAACCAAACACTGGAATTTAAATTCCCACTTTATTCCCAGTAATTCAACTCCCATGGAATTACAATTCCTTTCCCACATAATTCCCCCCCTCCAACCAAACGCCCTGTTATATTAATTTATTCATAGCAAAATTAAGTAATTTATTTCACTTAAACTAAAAAAAAATTTAATAATTTTGGGCTTGCTCTTAATTTTACCAAGACTAAGTTGCCTACGTATCTTATTGAAACTTCAATAAGAATCAAAGCCCACGTAGTTCTCTTACCTTTTTTTTAAGTGTCTGTTTACTCCCCTTCGGTTGCAGTAGTGGTTGCATCATCGGAAAAGAAATCGTTAAGAGAATGAGAATTCAGAGAAGCAAAGTATTGAGAGTTTGAGAGTGTGAGAGAGAGAAACTGAAATTTTGGGTGAAGAAAAATCGTGTATGTACTTATGCATTTATAGAAGAAGAAGTATAAAGAAGAAGAAAAATGAGTGCTTTTGTCAGGCAAATTATGAAAATAGCCATTGAGTGACTTCACTGACTTGAGTCTATAGCCTATACTTATATATAAATAATATAATATATATATATATATATATATATATATATATATATATATATATATATATATATATATATATATATTATATAATATATAAAGCCATATAAAGGTATAAAGCCAATTTCGCTTTATTCCCGTGACTCCACAGTCTACTCTGCCCCACTGTCATGGCAGTGGGGCAGAAGCTGTCACGCTGCAGGCTTAAGCTTGCAGCTTTTGCATTTTTTTTTTTATTTTTTTTTTTCGGTTTGGAACCGGAACCGGTGGTTCCGATTCCAATATTATAGGAACCTTATAGGTTCCGGTTAAGAACCGGAACCGTACGGACGGTTCCGGTTAGCACAGTGACGGTTTCGATTACGGTTACGATTCCGGTTTGAACCGGAACCGTGGTCACCCCTAGACAAAAGCACTCATTTTTCTTCTTCTTTATACTTCTTCTATAAATGCGTGAGTTCATACACGATTTTTCTTCACCCAAAATTTCAGTTTCTCTCTCTCACACTCTCAAACTCTCAATACTTTGCTTCTCTGAATTCTCATTCTCTTAACGATTTCTTTTCCAATGATGCAACCACTACTGCAACCGAAGGGGAGTAAACAGACACTTAAAAAAAAGGTAAGAGAACTACGTGGGCTTTGATTCTTATTGAAGTTTCAATAAGATACGTATGCAACTTAGTCTTGGTAAAATTAAGTGCAAGCCCAAAATTATTAAATTTTTTTTTAATTTAAGTGAAATAAATTACTTAATTTTGTTATGAATAAATTAATATAAAGACCTTATGGGAGTAGTGATCAGAGAGTATTGAAACTGATAAAGGTAATTCTTAGTTTATTAATGTTTAGAAAAATAAAGGAAACAAATGACAATGAAAAATTTATTGTCTTTTGTTTCCTTTGTTATCCTAATCATTAATGGCCTAAGAATTGCCTTTATTAGTTTCAATGCTCTCTGATCACTATTCTCATAAGGTCTTTGTATTAAAACATAGCAAAGTTAAACATTTTATTCCACTTAAACTTACAAGTTACAACTGTCATCTTTAAAAACAAAAAAAAATTTACTCAACTCAGGGCCTAACAATACTTAAAAACTTACAATTTACAAAAAAAAAAAAAAAAAAATTATCGGTTAGAACCGACGGTTTCAATCAGAACCGCCGGTTCCGGTTCGACCAAATACGGAACCGGAACTGGACCGGAACCGTGGTCATGTCTAATTTCAACCAAGACACTGAGGTGACCTCTAAACTCTAGACAGCAAAGTCCAGACCACCAGCGAAGACAGCTGAAATCCTTTGCAAGTCTGGACACAGCAATGCAAGTAAAGTCTGTGAGTTTAACAGAAGGATTTTTTTTCACTGATTCTTATTTAATGCAGAATTGCAGATGGTTATTTATTTATTTATTTATTTATTTTTAACTGATTTTTTCTGATTTAGATGGATTTCTTCTGTCTGTAGAGTAGCCTTCATTTTTCTGATTTTTGGTGATTCTTTGTGTATATGGCTTTCTAGATTTATTGTATGTAATGATAATTGATATGTATAGTGTGTATATCACTAATGAGTTATCAGTATATGCGTTTATTGATTTTCACTGACTTTTTCCTTTTAAAAAAATCCCATTTTTTGTGAATAATGCTTATTTAATTTGGAATTCTGCATTTTTGTTTAATTGATTAATTATTGAAATCGAAAATTGTAATCTTTTATCGTCATCTTCATGAATTCAATTTCATATAGAAATTTTTATTCCTTTATTGTCACTTTGTTTGGTGTGGGACTTGTAGCAAGTTGTTAATTTAAGCTAAGGTTTGTAATGAGACAATTGATGTAACATATGATTTCACATATCTTAATTATAATAAAGCTATATGGTTTGGGAAGTAATTAATGTTACAATTAATGCCACAACATCCTTTACTATAAAATAAAATAAATAAAAAAAAAAGCACAACATATGAAAAATAAAATGTTATGATATTATGATTAAGGATTCCAATTTTCGATTAATAGAAAATATGAAACGATGCAATATTAATTAATCTTTGGCTTTACAATGAAAGTATATTTGATATGATTTTTTTATTTATGGTGTTTCTTGGGATTACAATATTAATTAAATTTTTGATGAAAGCTCCAAAACAATGCAATTAATGCAAGCCTCTACATATAATTTTTCTCCTATAAAACACCCAAATCAAATCCATGTGAGCGTAAACTGCAGCAATTTGTCATACCATTTTTGTATTTTCATGGCCATGGCGGCGGAGGAGACAAAAGATGGTACTCGTAGAATGTAGAGGAGACCCTAACAATCACGCCTACCAAAAAAAAGAGTAAACAAAAGAGAAGAATTATGAAAAGTGGTAGAAAAATGGAGCCAAACATTAAGGAATCACCTTCTACAGGTAGAGATTGTGGAGTGTACTTTTCTATCTTCTCAAATGCTTCAAAGAAAGGGCAGAAGCGAGAAGGGATGGAGAAAACAAATGCTGCGGGCCGTGCGTTAATTATTGGACTTCAGAATTTAAAAAAAAAAATCATTTGAGCCATAAATAAATATTTAAATATATAAATGTATATATCGTATGAGTCTTTAAATGTTTTTCTGGATTTCTAAACTTAAGACTTTTAAAAGAAAAAAAAATCCATTTGAATTATCTGATCTCTACAAAAAAAGTGATATTGGGCTTATAGAATGACATTTGGGTTTATGGAATGACATGTGCATAAAGAATATATATTATATAATCATATAAAAAATTTGTTCAATTAGAGTTTAAATTTACTCATACAAAATTTGAAATTTGCTTTCTAAATGTAATTATCTTAGTTATTATTCGTATTGTGAAAATTATAATATAGATGAAATACAATTAAGAATAAATCAATGTAATTATGTAAATTCTCTCTATAAGTTTATTTGAATATGTACATAATTAGAGATTATATTAACCATACAAAATTTTAATTTTAATTTTATTGTAATTTTGTATTCTATAAAAATAATAAATACTTGACCAATAGAAGCTAAAAAATATTATTATATTAAACAATTTAAAATTTTTTTATTTTTTTATTTTTTGTTTATATTTATAATAACATAATTTTTTCTCGTGCATCACGCGGGTAAATTACTAGTATATATATATATATATATATATATATATATATATTGTGTATTTTTTTTCATATATTAAGTTTTTCTCACTGAGGTTTTTCTAGTGAGGTAAGATAATTGGTAAGGAGAGTGTTATAAATATTCATTTATGGGCATTATCCCATCATCTCCTACTTTAATGTTGTTAGTGAAATGATTAAATAATATGAGGCTTTTTCGGTTCCTGGATCTTACCCAGTTTCTCTTCCTCTACTTTTCTCTCTTTTCTCTGTATTGTTCTTGGCATATAATTGCGTCGAAATCATCATGGAAGATTAAGCTAAAGAAGATCGAATTTACAATACCTTCATTATGTAATAATGAATTTGTTTTTATTGTTGTTTTGATTTGGTAATTGTATAGTTTGATTTATGCTTTAGCTTGGTTTTTTTTTTTTTTTTTTTTTTTTTTTTTTTTTTGGGGGTAGTTAATACCAGTTCTCGGATTGCAATTGAAGCAAATTCTCTGATTGCTATTGATGTAATAATTAATCTATAATACATGAATAATGAGCAGTCAACTAGTCTCGTACTACGTATTATTTTGTAATATTCAAATAATAATGAACTTTTAAGTATACAAATAATGAATCAATAATATACAAACAATGAACCTTCCGCACGTAGTAGCATTTCTATTAGTTGATATTGACGGTATTAAACTATTAATGTAGCAGTGGTTATTTTAATTAGTTGAAACACTGTCGTATTAGACCATAGTCCACGTTGTTGTGTGGACAATGATCCACTGTATAACCATTGATAAAAATCACTGCATTATTGATGGTTCATAAAGTCATAATAATTGTAATTTGTAAATACATAAATCTATTATTGTAAATTTATAAAATCAAGTTCATAACAAATTATTAAAATGGTATATTGAAAAACATATATCAATATAAGTGTTATTTAAAATATCTCAACGAAATATTTTTAATTTTTTAATTTTTTTAATATATTGATATTGATTTTATTCAAATAAAAAGAAATAGAGAATAATATATTCAAGTGACAATTGTTTTCTAAAAAAAAAGTGACAATTAATCAATTTGTACCATTTTTTATGAACTTGTAGTATTGTTTGTATGTATATGATATGATTTTTTAAAAAAATGTACATACACGATTATTTTTATGTACTTGAGGCCATGATGCAACATTGACCTTGGTTCTTGATATAATTTGCCAACAAAAAATTAGAAAAAATAAATAAATTCAAATCATTGGTCTTACTCTTAGATAATTTGTCAAGAAAGACGGTGCATTGTCTTATATTTATTAATGGAGTAGGATCATATTGTTCTTGTCATATTAAGTAAAAAGTAAATGTAAAATTTTGAATTTATCCTTAAGAAATCCTAACATTTAACGGAAAGTAAATGTAAAATTTTGAATTTACTCTTCAGAAATCCTAACATTTAACTCCGTTAAAGAAAATTATAATGCCAATGACCAAATTTACAATTTTTGAAGTAATTGTATGATTAGATTTCAAAAAATCAAAAGCCAAGCATCACATAAACGAATTGTTGAATCAAAATTACGATTTTTCTCTTATATGGGGTGTGAATCCCGTGGGCTCGGGGCCCAAGAAGAAAATAGATAAAGCCCAGACGAATAAGAGAAGTCCAAGAGGAAAATGGAGTAAGCCCAAAAGAGATCCGAGTCAAACCGAGGAGTCGGCTCGACCCGGAGTCGGCTGGACCCGGAAGTCGGCACGAGTAGAAGGTCGACCTAAACTAGCCGTTAACCGATATTAAACTCCTAATTATTGCCCTATTCACTCAATAGGCCAAGTGGCCGTTATCCTATTAAAAGACACCTATTTACTTACCACTAAGCATCCATAACCCCCAAATAAAGACTACCTTACAACCCATTACTACCAATTTATTACCTATTCAAACTACCTCATCCTAACCCCCAATTTAATACCCTTAATCCCTACTAAATACCCCTAACGTCTCTAAAGCTCCTGGAAAGCTATAAAAAGGGGGAAGGAATAAGAGAAAGGGGAAGGCTTCATCATGGGGGGAAGGCTTCATCATGGGGGGAGGCATCACGTACTCCACATCACAAAACATAGAATACCCTTCCCACGCCACTCCTCCACACACATGGGGGCACTCTCCCACAATCACTCTCCATTCATTCAAGCAAGAAGACCACATGAAGAAGATTCCATTCTTGAGCACAATGGAAGACCCCATCACTCTTCCTACGCCACTCTTCCACTCTCACTCAAGAAGACTCCATTTTTACTAGAAGAGAAGTTCCAATACATGAAAGAAAGAGAGGCAACCACATTCTTACATCATACACTCTATACAAATACATGTACAAATACCTACAAAAATAGTGAAAGTCTTTAGGCTTGGCACCGCCCAAAAAGGCCCGTGGTTTTCCTTTCGGTTTCCACGTCAAAATCATCGAGCCCATATTATTTTAGCAAGCTTTATTGAAAGGTGTATCCTCCAGCTAAAGGTTGTGTTGGACCTCCTTGGGCGCGAAAACCCAAAAACCAACACTGGCGCCGTCCGTGGGGATCGTGACAAAAGGTCGCGTTACCTCTTTTTCTGAGCAATTTCGGAGAGCGTCCGGTCACTACGGACGGAAGATTGAGAAGGTTCACGGAGAACCGTGGACCAAGAAGAGGACTAGATGAGAATTGCGTGTCGAAGTCTACAAGAGGTAACCCTTAAATTAGATATTTAAATTACTCAAAGCTGTTGGCAAAGAATGGTCCGTCCGTGATACCAAGGGACTTGGCCAAGAGAGTCAAGGAGTCGACCGTAAAAATACGGTCAACAAAGAAGTAACAGGCAAATGGACGAGTGACGCTAAATAAGGAATTTATCCCCTGCCGACTACGGACTTAGTGAAATTGGCGAGTGGGTAAGGAATGATGAATAATTGCGTCTTTGATGAATAATATTCATTTATACGTTATCATTCGTAAACATATTTGTCGTATGATTAATTATTAGTGAGTACATGAAAGTTAGTTTGGTGATCTTGGTAAGGATGAGGATAATTAGAAACCCACAGCATCAAATCATGTGTACATAGAAGGCTTCAGCATATACGTGTCAATTAAATACAAAAATTGGCACCATATCACAATATACAAGAGCAAGATATGGAAGTCAGACTCCTG